ACGTGAACGAAACATCCAAACGGGGGGGAGGAGGGGGAAACGAACGTTCGTATTTCTTTCTTGTGTATTAATAATCAAGCTGAACGCGCATCACGCTGCTACTTTCACCAGGAGAATCATCCTTAGAGAGGTAGACGTCCTCTGAAACGATTGCTCATTTCCTGCCTTTAGATTATCGTCAGCCATGAATTTCTAACGGAAGGCGAAATTAACGGAAACTGAAAAGGATCCCGAGGCTTGGAACGAACTTCTCAAGAGAACTCTGATGACTTAGGGTGAATCCCATTGCTGAAAGCTGAATTACAACTGTGAATTTTTTCACCGGCGAAACTTGGAAACTTCGGTTTACAGTGTATTTCGTTTATTTAACGCAGCCGTTTCTCGATTCGTAACGTTCGTGTCGTTCGATTGGCACTCGTTGTCGTCAAACGATTTAAATTTATGAACACAAAGTGAGAAGATTACAATAGGTACAGACCCTGAGAGAAACTTTAAGAAATAATTTGCAACACTGGTCGCTTCTCGTTAGTCTTTCATTCATTCAGTCGATCAATGTAGCTTTTCGAAAGCTTCTTATTTTCGTTCGTACTATGAAATATTAACGAACCTGTTGGAATATTGCATCGTTAGTTTTCCTAGTCGAAGGCACATCAAATTTGGATGAATCAATCATTGAAACATGAGAACGATGGAACAAACTTTGTTACGAATTCACCCTCGTGACATAGTGGACCTAATAATTTATATAATCACGAGAAAAACTTCCATTCTAATTCAGCATCTTACTTTCAGTTCAATGAAAGAACGAAATATAATCTTCTCGAAAAGGAACCGAGGAATCAAGCTTAAAAGTCACTTTAATTTCTCGTAATTTCGCGAAATATATCGTTAACCGTAGTTCCGCGTACACGCACGTACACACACACACACACACACACACACACGAGCAAAAAAATCATTAAACATCCCGCTTTTACGAGCAAGAGTAACGCGATACGACGACAAAGGTGATTTCCCTCTGCCCTTTGCTCTCTTCCTGCTGGTGTGTAAACTCGTGCGTGCGTACACGATCGTTAACAAACAACCTGTCTCTCCGTTTTTTCCAAGCCTCCCCCCCCCGCCCCCTTCTTCAACGATCTTGCCTGCCCTTTCCTTCCTGCTGAAACCGCGCGCACCAGTTCCACTGCCTTTTTATTCGCGTAAACTTACCCGTAGGCCATTTGCGCATGCAAACGAAGGCGAAAAAAGCGCTCGGGCCTCTAATGGATATGGTGTGGCGGGTGAATATTGTCCGTGTAAATCGCCTTATCGGTCAACCAATGGCGGAAGCTTCATTATCATCGCCGATGTGCCCACTGACGCCGGTATCGGTCGGGCTATTTTACCGTGTCGTTCCCTCGTCCTTGTCGTCGGTCGTACTCGTCTACGCCGATGCCAGCCTCGGCTTTCACCGAGGCGACGACGACATCAAAAGAACGCGTCGTCGCCGGTTCGCGGAGACAGCTTGTCGCCTCGTTTCTCCGTTACACCTGTTATCGTTAATCGCGAGCGCGAATTTCAGGGCGCCCTCGTGCGCGATATCCTCTTTGTGAGCGGCGTCAAATTGGAAGAACTGCGCCACGCAGCTGAAGAGACGAGGCGAATATTCCGCGGGATGGCGAGACTTGTTAGACGCTGAGTTCGACCTTCAGACGTTCGGAGATGCAGACTTTTCAGAATAGGTGGTAGAAGATAGGAAATAAAAAACGTTAGCTGAATTACAGGATCTGTCACTTGCAGTAAAATTGACGATGATCTTGTATCTAACGATAAGTTACTTTATGGTTCCATCAAGTGATTCGTAATTTGTCAAATAGAATTGACTGTGACGAAATAGCAGAGCAATTAACACTGGACCTGCCAAAATGATTAAAACGACCAATTTATAATTCTTTTCTTGTCAAATATTTTTACATAGATGTAGAACAGTATACTTTTAGAGATTTTAACATGTACTCGTAGGTGTTTAGAGCTTGTACATTCTATTTCTATTGTATCATAAAGTTTCTCTATTTTCTTTACTTTAATGTTTCTGAATTCTTATGCTTTAAGGTAGTTCTAGCGTTAAGATAATATGTATATATATATATAT